TAAATGGTAAACGCTACTATTTGTTAAAAGCCTCCTGTCAATTTCTAAGCCATTACTACTGAAAACAAAGTACTTTCCATTTCCATTTTATGGAATGCTTTTACGTATCATGCCAATATCAAAGTTCTCTCTATTATAATTGGCTTATGGTCAGAATTTGATTTCATTAACTAATTATTTTATAGTGCAATATATGTACAGTTAATCCACCCATTGTAGTGAAATAAAAACTAAAAAATGTAGAGAATAAATACGTAATTTGAACCATTATCTCAATGTAATTGGACAATTCTCTCAGCACTAAAAGGAGGAATTACGAAGCTGGAAACAACATCCAGATATATCTTTATCTAAATCTTCACAAAAGATAATTCAAACCAGGTGTTAGAAAGATAATTTATCTAGATATATTTGCTGACCAAATAGATTAACAATATCCTACACAATAGCTTTAAATGCTCCAACTCGAATTAACGTCATGGAGGATGTTTAGTTAACAGTATATTTGATAAATTTTAGACATGTCTGAAACGTAATAATATTTGACTCTAATAAAAAAAATCTCCAAACAAAAAATGGAGTAATTTGTAAAGATGGTCACTGTAAGGAAGCATATACTCTCAATAAGTATTTAAATATAACAAATTATAAAGCCTAAAAGAGGTTCAGATACGTTGAAAATTGAGATATTTTAATAAGTTATATTATTATTAGAAAAGAATAGAATCGAAATTCAAAAACTTGTCGACGACATTTTTACACATGATGTACTGCATCATGTATGAATAGCGAGGAATCAAAATAATTTCGTCGAAGTATATTGATCTAGGAAATAACTAGCCAAATGAATAGACACAATTCTAGCAAATTGAATTTACTAAAGAAACCTAAAATTTTTGTATCTACAATCTTAACATATAAAAGTGTATATTTATGCTAAAGGAAAATAACAAAAAAGTAAAATCATAATATGAAATGTACGACTCTTCACTTGATATATTTCACGAAGACTTGTATAAATAGATAGAATCATGTTGTGGATGTAATCACAAGTCTTATTTTATTAGTTTGACAATGTATGAAATTTGATATGCATATAATAAATGTGATTATAATCAATTTATTTTATATAATTATAATATAATCTGTAATGGTTGGAGCTCAATTTTGGTAAAACTCAACCAATACAAGCAACTATAAACTCAAGATGCAGAACGTAAATTGTAATTACTTAACTCTTAAGAAGAAGGGAAGATGAAGAGGAGAAATAGACAGTAGTAGGGGTAAGAAGCCCCGAGAAGGAGGAGAAGTTAGGAGAAAGAGGGAAGAAGACTGGATACAAGCACAATTACATAAAATAAAAGTAAATGAAATGGGTCATGACATCCATTCCCCTTATATTAACCTTGTTTTCAAGGTTCAAAGTCGGGACGTCTTCTTTGTATGTTGTTAGCAGCTGCTTTATTCTCTTTACCACCATTGAATTAAAAAAGTAGTGCAAACTGACATATGCTTGGTTAACATTATTTGCCCACCTTCAACCAGCATGCCCAACAACCCTTGGATGGCAGTTGCTGATATACCAAATGCCCAACCATGATCAACTGATCTAAAGAAGAGTGCAAAAGGGAAGCATTCTACATCAAATGTTTCAGTAAAATCCTTCCGTGTAAGCTAGTTGCCAACATGATCTACAAACGTCTTGAAAGCAGATAGATATAGCGGGATCTCAGTGGCAGAGTTGCAACCCATTCTGTCTCTATTTTCTTGGCAGTGAGAATGGACACTTATACATTTAAGAGTCCACTCTGTGAACATCTGGACCTTCGCACCAGCTTCTACCTTTAGAACTTCATCTCCATTGCATTGTAATAGTCGTTCAAGTGGAGCTTCCCTAGAAAAGACCACATTCCCATTGCTTTTCCCTTCAGCCTTCGGCGCACTACTAACTGCAGCCTCATTTTCATGATGATTATCATTTCTAAGAGTCGGATCTCTAGATTCATCAGTTTTCATTTCTATGTCTTCTTCTTCAACATTGTTTTTAGCAAATCGCCTACAAACCCTACTTGAAAACATGTCCCAATCATTATTATGGTGGTTGAAGATGAAGACATGAAGCCATATGTACACTTTTCCCTTCAAGTACATCTCAGTTATTCCCACCCTCATTTCATCAGCTACTAGTTATATCTAGAAATATTTTCGAGCTTTCCACAGCCATTCTCTAGGGTCTTTTCTCTAAAATAAGGAAAGTTTATTTTGGTTGATTTGGTATTCATCCTAGCCTCTCTAGCTCCTAGTGTATTTCTAGAGTGATGGTCATTTTCCATAGGACTACAACTGCTAATTTGAGATGGAGTACCATAACCCTGAACTTGTTTTTCCCTATGGTTTGCCTTACTCTCATTTATCTGAGCCATCATATATACCATATATTCATATTTACTGTTCATTTTCCCCATCAAATGCTCCATCCTGTCCTGCTTAGAGCAAACCGCCTTCAACATTTGATCCAATGATTTTGTCGCCACACCCAAATCTGATATTTCTCATTTAACTTCTTAAGGTACTCCTCATTTGATTTGCTCCTAGTTTCAACCTTGCCCAGATCACGTTGCTGCTCTGAATACATTTGTAATGGTTAGAGCTAAATTTTGGTAAAACTCAACCAATAACAAGTAGCTATAAACTCAAGATGTAGAACGTAAATTGTAATTACATAACTATTACGAAGAAGAGGGGAAGAGGGAAAGAGGAAGAGGATAAATAGACGACAACATGGGAAAGAAGCTCGGAGAAGGTGGAAAAGTTGGGAGGAAGAGGGAAAAAGACTGGCAGTAGCAAGCCATAGTCCAACTCATTATCCCCATCCATAGCTTTCAATACAACCTCATATAGAACAAAACAACAACCCTCAAGATAAAGGGCTATGGGCTAGCCACCTAATAATACAAGCACAATTAGATAAAATAAAAGAAAATGAAGTGGGCCATGACATAATCCTTGAAGGATTTTATACTTACAGCAAATAATTCAAGTGATATTATCACGAAAAAATTAAATACGCATCGTACTTATTTTACATTGCAAGGTTTTGTCCAATTGGATTTAACTAGCAAGGTTTTTAACGATACAATTATTGTAGCATACTTAAAAGAAATAATGTACTCTTTTTCTTTAGCTAGGATTTTTTCATAGAATTTTTCCTAATAAGGTTTTAACGAGTCATATTCTTTGTGTAATGTCCATAATCCAAAAGACATTTACCCTCAAAATAATACTTATATATGTATGAAACTTTCTAAAAAATTAACAAGAGCTATTTTATGAATCATCATATTAGTATAGTCATCAAAGGTTAATAAAATATCTTGTATGAAGACGATATTATTTGAATACTATGCAAGACAACATGGGATACATTTTACCAAAAATTTAATATTGACAACATTAACGTACAAGGTAGGAATGAATTGATACAATAATTGAAATCAGGGGAAACACTTGTACTTCTTTTTCCTTCGATCAAGTTTTGTACACTAGATTTCTTGATAAAGTTTTAACGAGACAACTATTTTATAATATGTTATTCAAGAGGAAGTATTGTAAATAATAGATTATTATTGAATGATAATTATACCCCTATAGCATTGTATTTATAATTCTTCCCTATAAATAATAAATATAGGGCTTTAGTTCTTAATAAAACATATAAATCTATTGACTTTTCTACTTTCTTATCTTTTCTCCCTATTTAGCCCATGTTTGGTGGCTATTCTTTTCAAGAAAAAAGTTTTGAACAGTATTTTTTAGAAGACCGTGTAATTAAAAAGTAGAGAAAATTTTGAATTTATGTACAAAATATTTTAATGTATAAATGTGTGATTAAAAATGAGTATGTAAAAAAATAAAAATAAATAGAAGCTTGGGAATCAAATGGGGGCTTCATAAATGAGTATGTTTATATCTACTCACTTGATCAGGACCGTCCTACTGAAGATTTTCCCCTTATTAGAGGCACTGCAAATTTTTAAATTTTACACAGGATGCCCTCTATTAAATCTTCCCACAAAAAATGACCCTTTAATCTCCAATAATAAAATAATTCGTCCTACACTGGAATTTATCGTCTTATGTGATCACGTCGACAGAATAAATATACAATATAATTAGGCTCTATAAAATCCATCATTGAAAAGAACAAAAAAGACAAATTGAGTTTCATACAGCCCACACGAAATAATAGATAAGACTCAATTGTAAAAGCATCTTCAATGGTATGTAAATTGGTATCTTTAAAACTATTTTTGTATTCTCATTTACATCTCGATGATTTAAATTCAAATTCCACTTCAATGAAAAGATCTAAATCCATTTTTATCTCTTGTTAATGTTAAAAAAAAAAAAATGCAAATATACATCTTTTTTTTTTTACATTTTCTATCGGAATAATGTAATTCGCATTTTCTTTACATCTCTTTATTGAAATATTTTCGACCACTTGGAGGCCACCATTGAAATTGCTTTTTAAGTATATACATGACTAACTCACGCTACACACCAAATTTAGGCCACACACACACTACAATAATGTTTATATGATGCTGCTAGCTTAACAGTCATCAAAAGGATAAGGCAATGAACAGTGTTATCGTGAATAGGCGAAAATGCAAACCACAAGAAAGATATCAAAAGTCATTCTGACACCGTTGCACCTCTGCTTCCAACAGACTGACCCATTTCTTCAGCCCTGTTTGGCCCTAGCTAAATTTTATTTTTCTTTCTTCTATTTTTAATCATATAATCTTTTATAAAATAGTATTACACGTAAATCGAAAAAAAATTCTTCTTTTTTAACGACTTATTTTTCAAAAAAAATAGTATTTTACCCACTTTCATTTCAAAAAAGGGGTCAAACAGGGGCTCAATGTCCTCTCCCTCCCTACGTCCCTCTACTTTTTCTCTCTCTACTTATAAGTGATTGAAAATAAGAGGGTTAGCTGTGTTTCTGATACTCAATTTCATACACTATATATTCCTTCGAATCCTTCAGTTTCTTTGCAACATCTTCGTGGGACCTGTCGCCTCGATTCATAACTTTTCTCTCTCCCCTTTTCTATATATAAGTTCACGGACAAAAGTACAAGAAATACATGCTCGTTGATAAGTACTAAATATAGAAGCAAATAACAGGGGACTGTTAATGTTAAGAATGAGTGCTGAATCCCAAAAACCATCAACACCGCAGCAGCCACAAAATCCTTCAGAATCCACCAAGAAAATCAAAAGAATCCGAAATACGGTCACCGGTGGCGCCCCAAGTAACCACCCGGCGTACCGCGGCGTCCGAATGCGCAGCTGGGGCAAATGGGTGTCTGAAATCCGGGAGCCCGGCAAGAAATCCCGAATTTGGCTTGGCACTTTCCCTACACCAGAAATGGCAGCCCGGGCACATGATGTTGCAGCTTCAAGCATCAAAGGGAACTCAGCAATATTAAACTTCCCTGAACTCGCCGCCGTACTGCCGCGGCCGGTATCGCTCTGCCCACGTGACGTTCAAGAAGCCGCCGCAAAAGCAGCAGCAATTGAAAATTTTGACCTGTTACCACCGTCTTCTTCTTCGAATACTTTATCTTCACAGTCTTCTTTTTCATCTTCTGATCCTGGTGTTGATTTTTCTACGAGCTCAGAGAATTTATCTGAGATAATTGAATTGCCAAGTTTGGGATCATATTTTGACTCTCTAGAACTGAAGAATGATGCCGTGTTTGTCGACAACTCAGTGGATTACGGATGGTCGGATCTTCCTCCGCCGCCGGTTCCATGGCAGAGCACTGGTGGCGATGATGGTGGCGGAAATTTTGAATCTCCGTTGTGGAATTATTAAGTGAATCAATGTCTGTTTTTCTATGTGAATTAGCGAATTTTAGCTCTTTTTATTTTTCATTGAAGGGCTCTCTTCTCCGACCTTTCGTCAACTTGCTTGCTTTGTACAGTGTTCCTTTTCAATAAATATAACAGTACGGTGTAAGAGTCTTAAAGTTTATCCATCCGCTTCTTATGAATCACACTGCTCATTAATTTACTTGTTTGAAGTTTTTTTTTTTTTTTTTCTCAGACTATAATTCCTTCTGGGACATTTGCAAAAATGTTTAATTTTACGTATATCAATTCAAAAATGTCCACTTTTATAATCTTTGCAAAAATGGCCTAATTTGATACCAAATTCTCTACGTAAACCTTAATGAAAAAATAAATAATTTCATATTGTACATATCAAATCACAATTAATGCTAGACACAGAAATATCTAGAACAACATTTAAAGTATAGAGAAATGTCATGTTTGAAATGAAATGTCATTTTAAATATTTAATATGCCGAGAATAACATTTTAAATGTCGAGAACATTTAATATTGTGATTTGACATGTGTATTTTTGAAATATAAACGGATTCAAATATCGAGAACGACATTTAAAATGTCGAGAACATTATTTCAATTTAGCTTCTCATGGAAGCTACTTAGGGGTATTCTCGTCCAAATAATTGTAAAAATAAATATTAAAAAATTTTGAACATTTTTACAAATGACTATGTCAAAATAAACATTTTTTGTAATTTCCTCATTTCTTTTTGGGATTGGCTTAAAGTGATAATGAGCTATGATAACTTTCATGATGATAAAGATCATGAAATGGAGGTTTTGATTCCCATTTTTTCAAAAATACATTTTTATTTTTCTTCTTTTCAATCACATATTTTTCATTAAAATAATATTACACACAATTCAATTTTTTTTTCTAACTACACATTTTTTATCAATCTACCATTTTAAAATGCATTCTTAAAAAAGAATGAGGCTTAAAGACACAATGTCCCTTCAAATTATTATATTTTCTTTTTAATTTTTTGTTTGTGTAATATTAATGCACCCCGAGGGGTGGTTGGCTTAAGCGGGGAGAGAGAGAACGAAAAAATTTATTGTTCTATAAAAAATAATTGGTTACTATATGAAATTTGTAGCATTCTCATCTTTTCATGTTTTTGTTTTTATCTGATTTCAGACAGGATTTTATTTTTCAAATTATTCGCAATGAGGAAAAAATAAAAAATAACCAGAAAAAGTTCCATAAAAATGTGAAGGCTTTTTGAACATTTCCTGCTCACCTTTTTCAATAAATAATAAAAATAAGCCCTCTTCAAGGTGGCGTTAATCACGAGCTTCATTCAATGGTACAAATTAACTAATGTAGTGAAAAATGCATAAAACTGTGAAAGATGGAATAAAGAGTTGGATGAAGCTATTTGTACACAAAGATTTACATAATCTTTTACACACACAACACATGGTGGCCTCCTATTCGAGGGGTGGCTGGTGGGCCAGCCGCCCCTCCAATAGGGAGCCGCCACGTGTTGTGTGTGTAAAAGATTGTGTAAATCATTAGGTGAATGTAGCATGGTCCATAAAGAGTTTCATTAATCACTGAACTTAGCACAATGTCACATTATAATTACTGAACTTCCTTTTGTTGTTGAACGGTCATTGAACTTTCTGTTGGAAAAAAAAATGGTTTAATGGGTCAATTTTGAGCCCAAATTTCAGTGGGACCCACCTTTTAAATAATACGGGACCTAGTATATTCACGTTCTACTCCGCAAGATGATTAACGTGATATATTTATTTGTCGAAAACCATTTAAAATTGAATGAAATATTAAGTGTTAAAGTAACCCACATAAACTAAGGATTATGGAAGAATTTGATTTGCCAAACACTTATCCCACATAGGAAAGTTAGGAAACTTTGGTGTGATTTATAAGGTGGAAGTTTGGAATTGGGTTTGGGCCCCAAGGAGTACCAATAGTCTTTGGAAGGGGGAATACCTATATCCTATTGGGTTCGGTCATAAACCCACACGCGCGCGCCGCCGCCGTCCATCCGACCGGCCGGCTCGGCTCGGCACGGCACGAGCCCGAGTCCGGTCCGGTCCGGTGCGGGTCCGGGTAGACCTTTACACTATATTAACTTTTTGGACAAAATTTATTTAAAATTTTGGGCCAAATTATAAATAATCAAATTCTTGGGTACAAAATGAAATTTAAATTTTGGCTTATTCCGGGTGTTTTATTTTCTTTTAACAGTCGACTGTTTCGACTGTTTACCGACCAAACAGTCGACTGTTAGCCGACTGTTAACCGACTTAACAGACACGACTTTTAAGAACAGTATGTCTGTTCGGATTTTTTAGGCTTGTCTAAAAGGTGATGACTGTTCGAATGGCCACAAACAAGTCTATAAATTGCCAGCCTTTCTACCAGAAAATTTACACCGTTTTCATTGCAAACTTTCTGTGCTTTGAATCTCATTTCCCACTCTCTCGTTCTGATATTGTCTCGAAGTAAAAAGCACTTCGTTGAGTTCGTTGGAACTCCTACAGACTGCAGTGCTGCTTCCGTAGGAGACAAAAATTCGTTCTATCCTGGGAAACGATTGCTGGACGTCTTTAGCACCATTGAAGGCAGCAAATTCGTTTTAAGGAAACATCGTGAAGTCGGTGGGCTCGAATTACAATTTTGGATCCTGTTGATCAATTCTTGCATTCAGGTAATTCTGTCGGATTGTTTTCGAAGGAGTGAATTCAAACTCTAGAAACAACAATCTTAAAACGAATTTTGTTTTTTCAATTATTATTTGTTTCTGTTTCTACTCCTTCTTATCGTTGATCTTCTGATTGCATTCAGAAATGGCAACTTCTGGTACCACACTCCCGAATACGACCGGGGAAAAACCAGAAAAGTTTAATGGGTCAGATTTCAAGCGTTGGCAACAAAAATGCTTTTTTATCTGACGACATTAAATCTAGCTAAATTTCTCAAAGAAAACGCGCCTTCATATACCAAGCAAGACAGTGATGCTGAAAAATTGGCTGCGGTTGATGCATGGAAGCATTCTGATTTCTTATGTAGAAATTATATGCTTAATGGACTGGATAACACATTATATAATGTGTACTACAATGCTAAGTCTGCAAAAGAACTGTGGGAATCTTTGGACACAAAGTACAAAACCGAAGATGCCGGCACGAAGAAATTCATTGTCGGTCGTTTTTTGGATTATAAAATGGTTGACAACAAGACTGTCATATCCCAAGTTCAAGAACTTCAGATCATTATAAAATGGTTGACAACAAGACTGTCATATCCCAAGTTCAAGAACTTCAGATCATACTTAGCGACATCCATGCCGAAGGAATGAAACTAAGTGAATCATTCCAAGTCGCTGCACTAATTGAGAAATTACCACCTTCATGGAAGGATTTCAAGAATTACCTCAAGCACAAGGAAATGAAACTTGAAGATATCATTGTCCGTTTGAGAATAGAAGAAGACAATCGCAAAACGGAAAAAAGGAATGGTGCATCTACTTCGATGGAACGCAAAAAGAAGAAGTACAATGGGGAAGGACAAACTGGTTCTTCAAAAACTGCTAAAAAGTTTAAAGGCAACTGTTACAATTGTGGCAAGGCAGGACATCGATCCAAGGATTGTCGAAAGCCAAAAAATGTGAAGGGAAAAACTAACCAGGCCAATGTAACAAAACATGAGAACCTCACTGATAAGGTACAAGACATGAATCTTTCTGCGGTCGTCTCTGAATGCAATTTAATTGGAAACACTAAGGAGTGGTGGGTAGATACTGGGGCTACTCGTCACATATGCTCAAACCGCGGGATGTTCTCTACCTACAAAGCAATGGATCATGATGAACATCTTTACATG